CCTTTTGTTGGTAAATCCCTCCAGCACTTTGGCTAAGCAGTTAGTTAGTGCGATAGGTCGTAAGTCTGAGGTAATGTCCTGGGGGGGCGACACCTTTGGAACAGGGATAACGATTGATTTTTTCAAGGGTTCTGGTACTGATCCTTCTCGAAGTGACTGGTTATAGATGTCCTGTATTACCGGTGCTAACTCTGGTGCAAATTCTTTTAGCAATCTGTTGGATATCCCATCCGGGCCAATGGCTTTGTGCGGAGATAATTGGCTTAGGTCATGTAAAACCTCCTCTAGCGAGACAAATAGGTTAGATGGTACTACATTAGGAGGTACATGGATAGGATCAAGAGGTTCAAACTGATTAGTAAAGCTAGTRAGGAAATTGTTCACCTGGAAAGCCAACTCAGAAGTGTATTTGGTGTTGTCGTTAATGAACTGATGATACCATTGTCTACAGGGTGTCGTTTGTCCTGTTAAGGATTTAATATCATTCCACCATTTCTTGGGATTAGTGGTTGCTAAACCATTTACCTTGTTGTCGTAAAAGGTAGTTTTGGCTGTCTTTATAGCTAACTGCACCATATTTCGTAATTGCTTGTATGACGGCGAGTCTTTCCCATACTTAGTAAATGCARATTGGCGCTTCTTTATCATAGACTTCAGCTTATCTGTCACCCAAGGTTTATCATTCGCATGGCGTTTCACCGATTTCCAAGGGAAGAAGGTGTTGATTGCTTCCTGGATTTGATCTGAAAATAACTGAAATTTAGTAGAGCATGAATCAGCTAGATATATCTCTGACCAATCCATAGTAGTGATCCACTGTCCAAATTCTCTCTTAGTGGGATTCAAAAGCTGCTAAATATTGCATGAAAAGTAATCAACAAGGAGTTACTTTCACAAATTTTACTCTTAATATATTTGATTTGAAATCACTTCGTGATTTATCAGTTCCTATAGATAAACTGCATACCTTTGGTAGATTCTTTACATCTAAACCAGACCTTTTTAGAGCGTCAACTCGGGAAAGCTATTTTTGAAAATTGAGCAAGCAGTATATTACATGGATGGTCATATAGGCGAATAAGAGAATAGTTTTAAATGAGCTCAATTTGAAAAAGTACTGAATAAGCCAGCTCTTTTCAACACTTTTAGGGCACGAGTACACCCTGCTGTTAGCGTCTAGTCTCTAGTAGCATTAGATTTGCCGTTCCAGGTTGGATTGACCCACTTTCAGTCTTAGAAAACATAGATTTGTAATGAAATATGGGTAATTTGTACATTAAACTTTGTATTCGCCGAAGGTCGAGTTACTCCATCTACGTCATCAACCCAGGCTCCCTCGCACTCGGCCAAAAATCATTTGGCCGAATTTAACGAGCATAAAAAATATTAAATTTGGAAATTCGGGTTTTTTTTAATGTGAATGTGTGGTTCATAACTCCTAAACTTTTTTTTCCAAATGTAAAAAAATTGGGTGAGGTGGACTTTAATAATCAAATAGCACATATAAAGCCAGTTATAAAACTTATTCTCATACCCATTCTCATACTCAACATCAAATGTGATAACATTTTTGCAGGTCCAATATGACACTTTATGGCCACGTATCGTTGGTGCCACTTCCATCTGATTACCAACCAACAGTAGTTGGTTTGCCTCCAACAAGTGCCGAGCAGCAGGAAGGTAATAATTTAATTAAGTATAATTATTTTTAAAGTTCATTCTTTTTCATCAAAATTTTGAAAACTGGTATGGGATAGTGGTGCTACCCATCAACAAAACATTTTCTCATGACATGGTGGCCGTTTGTTTTTATGTTCTTTAATCTTCAAAATGGAATAAGTAAAGCGTAATGTTAAAGCCAAGCAAGTAATTTTAGCATAGTTTTTAAGTGTCGGTATTGACATCGTTCCAGCAATCATTGAACAAATTGATATAATAAAGAACCTTGGGAAATTGAAAAGAACAGTTTACAGTTGGAATAAGTTTTTCGCTAAATTTGACAAAGGAAAACTATTCAAGTCTTATTTGTTATTTATTCTGATTTTGCGTTTTGACCTTGAGCGAGCAAGTTGCAGAGGGTATATTATTTCGCCTCGAGTTTATTGCATATTTTATTTTCAGTTGTACGATGTTGTTGACACCAAAATTAAATCGCTATTTTAAAGGTGGTACGTTTATTTTAATTTTGGAATTTTCTGAATTTATTTCCAAGGGTCTTTCTCCCAGAATAATCTCCTTCTAAGCACTATAACTTTCCTTTATTTCTATATCATAAATTTCTTAGTAATTGTTCATTCAATTTCTTTTTAAAACAGAAAACAAAGATATGGAACTTGACAAACCTATAGATGAAGCGATAGGAGAAGATTCTGTGTCGAGTGCTATGGGATTTAAATCACCTGACCAACTGTCCAGTGAACTGATTACTCTCTCACTTCTACCTCAGTCAAGATGGAAAAACTTGACGAGCCTGGAGATAATCAAGGTGCTCGAATAACTCGACGTGAATTATTATGACTTTCTTTAATTTATATCTGGCAATTGTGTTATTCTCTTTCAGGAAAGAAACAAACCAAAGCAGCCTCCCAAAGCATCGAAGGCCGCACCCTTCTTTCTGCCAACCGAGACGGGACTGGTACCAAAGTTTATCTCAACTGAACAGGAAACAGACAACACTGATGTGACATCATCTAAATTAATTCAATTCAATAAGCTACAACCTCAATCACACTTTCAAAGAATTCTTGTTCAGTCTTCAAATTCCAAAAATTGTAAGTTCTATTTTCGGCTGTACGATGTTGTTGACACCAAAATTAACTCGCTATTTTAAAGGTGGTACGTTTATTTTAATTTTGGAATTTAACTGAATTGTCAGAAAGAAATGACTCAAGTAGTCTTCATTCCCTTCCTATTTTAGCAATGATTATATGATAACTGCTCTTCCATTTGCAAATTGTTGTACAAAAAGAGGAAGCAGTATTTTCAAACACCGGAAAGAAAATTGTTTGATTTTCTGTCATTTTTTGCGGCTAGTGACCAGGAGCCATTATGCTATGGGCTTGACTACGTGATTGCATTTCGGCAAAAAGTATTTTGCAGCGAAGTGTTAGGTTCTCTCTCCTCGGAGAACATTCCGAGGAACATTCGTTATTTTTGAACTCACAATAGAAGGTGAGTTTCAGCATTTTTATCATGTTTTACTTCACGAACAAGGCACAACGTTGATTCGTCTATCAACTGTTTGCTTTTAATTAAAAACGTTTTGTTGATTATCCGAAAGACTTTAGCTTGTTTGCATCTACAGTAGCCATGACTAACGATCTGTAGCGAGCACAACCATCGTCGAACAGGCTCTAAAGCCAACTTGCACGGGACGATTTTTACTTACAACCATCGCATGCATGCAACCTGCTTACGACATGTTTTAGCTGTTATTTACACGCGCACTACTTTTAGCTCAAGACACTAAAAGCTTGCGTGCGATATTTCCCGTTTGCTCTTGATTCTTTCTTGCAATAATCTTTGTTGCGGCAATTSAACAATGCTCTTCTGTTCCTCATAAAGATATCGGCTTTTCAGTGTCTTCTACTGTGATTTTTACGTCTTTCTTGTTTTTCGCATGTTTTGCCGGTGTGTACACATCTCTGATTTTTGAAAGTTTTATCTGTCGTACTGATTTCACATGGAAAATGTCGATTGTGATGGCTTGCACTAAATCTAGGCATCTGATTTGGCATTTGAAATCGCATCCGGGCCGTGCATGCCCGACACCGCCCGGATACGACCTTAATTCACAAGGCGTTCCATAAATCAACGCTTCCTATGAATTTAAAATCCGCAATAGTTTACTTGGAAGTCAAATATTCTTCTTGTTTGAAATTGCTTCAGAATCAACAAATAAACAGCTGTCGGCAAAAAGTTAGTGGTTAGGCAATGCATAGGCGCTAGTTCGAATTTTAACGCTCGTTTAAAAAAATGTTTTCAGTATTTTAGGTTCTCCTTCACATAATAGGACATGAGAGCCTTCTATGAGTAAAGCAGCGCCGTGTACATACACAACCATATATAATGGAAGTCGTACGGCAGATCCTTCTCTTTACGAGGACTTAGACATTACGTTAAGCACGACTAAGTGTTAGTAGCCCCCCATTCATGACATTTGAAAATGATATAATTTTCAAATTATGATCAATTAATGTGATTGTTATAGGCAGATAGATGTTCAATATTTTTAGACCCCTAAATGTTGACCAACCAACATCAGACTCTACCAGAAAAAAATCACTTAAAAAAGCGAAAACAACCAAGGAAAAGAAATCGGTCAGTTGATCAATCCTTTGGTTGAGCTTTGTTGTCTTTCACAGATGAACCCCTCATGGCATATCTCAAGGATATGGGTCCTTCAGGGATTGAAATGGAGCTGCGGCTGCTAGCCCCTGTTGCTGGAGGGGACATTATGTTGATAGAGAAATTTATGGAGTTCTTGCTGATCCAAATAACTACAAGAAAAGACTTTGAACTTGCAGAAGCATATATGTCCCTATTTTTAAAGGTAACAAATGGTGTTCTTTAGCTTTGCATTTGTATTTTTTGGCACATTTTTGAAACAATTAGGGTGCGTCTGCCAAGCACTAGGAATGCCCATTTTTCAGACTCACGCTTGCATTGTATGCTTTCAACTAGATACAAATGGTGATATTTCTCCATGCATTCCCACATGTGGTTGGCCTGAATGGCTAATTCATTAATGCAATATAAGGTCACCCCTGGTAGGAATGATAAATTCATAAACAGGAAAGTGTATAAGAAGAAAAAAAGATATTCTTATCATACACGACTTTCAAAAATGGCCCAATTCACGTCCGTCTATATTGGGGACTAGTGACGAATCATGGAAACGAGACCTCAAAGGCCTTCCATCAAGAAATCACTACGAAGATCGTATGGTGGCAGTGTCAAAAAGTTTGAAAGATGTATTGGTATTTTATTTATAACAAAAACACTCTTGAAAGACACCATGGAAGCTCACTATACGGAGGCTGGCCTTTGAGACCTCGTTTTAGTGCTTCGTCCCCAGTGCCCTGGTCGACGACCGTGACACATCGCGCCATTTTTGAAAGTCGTGAATACTAAGAGGTTATTAACGGAGCGCGAGGTCTGTACGGAAAATATCAGGCCGAGGTGGCAGATAGCAGATTTACATCGGAACGGAGCTTTCCGTTGAAAAAGTGTGCGTTTTAGAGGTAGCCTGTGTACATCCGTTTCTCACCCCGATTTTTTGAGGGGTGAGAAACGGATGTACACAGGCTATTTAGAGGTTGTCAAAATTCCTTGTTTTTTTTCGCTTTAATTTTAATATCTAAATTTACCCGTTTGCGGTTTACCTGGTTTACGGTTTCGGCATTACGGCCTCAAAGACCCTTCGCTTCGTAAATATAAAACTATAAAAAAGGGGAAATCCAGCCTCTGGTACCAAGGGTATTATTGAACTTTGAAATATATACCTATTTCAAAAATAAAAATGGTTGTCGGATAAAATGGCGAATGTCAATTGTCGAACGGCGATTGCACAACCGAAAGTAGTCATGGTTTTTGCTAACTGATGAGAAAGAACAAGTGATTTGTACTGTAAGATGGTCTGTGGTAAACATTGGCTCCATTTAGTCGCCATTTCTATGTAAGTTGAATCCAATAAATGAAATTTTGTTTATCAAAACAGTGTAACCATAATTCCTTTCGGCCATGCAATCTCCCTTCGACAATCGCCGTTCGCCATTCTCCCCGACAACGTTTTTTGAAATAGCTGTATCAATTTAAATCTGCGAATAGGGAGTTTAAATGTAACTGTACTTTTACTTTTGGACCATTTTAACTGAAAATAATGTAATTTTCACAACACTTTATCGATTACATCAAATCTGCAAAATTTCTTGTGATTTCAAATGTTATCTTCATGTCATCTTCTTATCTAATAAAAATAGATTATCAAGACCCGGGGATAGGGGGCTCATACCTCTCCAATCTATTGCTCAGGAAACAAATTTTGAAATACATTAAAGTTTTTTTTATTAAATCTTCTTACTTTTTTGGAATGTGCTCCGTGTTTATGTTTTATGTAATGTATACAGAACGAGATAGCGTGTTGTATCGGGTGATAAAGATCCGAGAATCCGAGCCGAAGGCGGAGGCCTTATAATAATTCACATTTTCATGTTTTTGAAAAACTGATCGAATATCTTGCTGTATTTCATCGATTAAAATTATCAGCGGTAACGTATGTCGCCATTATTAAATATTCGTCAAATATAACTGTATGTATGGTGCCATTGTTTCATGAAACGACTGAATTATCAAGGGAATTTCTAAATGATTAATTGAAAGTTGGATTTGGCACATTAGAAGCTTTTATTACTTACTCCTAAAAATTGTTTATTTTCCTATTGTTTTTTATAGGAAGAATGTGCTTTCCAAACTATGGAAAATTAGAATTGTCAAAGGAATTGCAAGATATTAGGCATTCATAGTTAGCAAAAATTAAATCAGTTGGCTTCCATTTCTCCCTCGAAGACATGTCGCGTCGATTTCGGAGGCCTAAAACTCAACATAGAGGAAAGCGCTATTGTTCAGGCGAGTTTTCCACAAATATTCTACAAAATGGGCCGCATCCTTATTTTGCGACTAGCAAAAAGACTGTGAAACAAGAAAGCCATAAATGGGAGCATCAGATTCAGTTTCAAAAACAGCGAGTCGTTCCAAGATGCTGACACTAATCTTGAAGACGTGAACGCCGAGTCGTTAATTTTTTGGATGGTTAAATTACAAGACGGGGCGCGAAGAAAACGACGAAGCTTATCCGACGAACGAGTAAATTGCGAGGAAACGAAACATTGCTTCAACATTGATTTTTTGCGTTTGATTGTGTTTGATTGCACGCGAGCTTAGACAATTTTGAATATTTTCAGGGGAGTGTGGGCCTGATTATTATTCAACGTTTTCCTGATATCAGGAAAACGTTGAATAATAATCAGCCCCGCACTCCCCTGAAAATATTCAAAGCCGCCCCCAACTTTGAGGTTGCTACACCTTTTATCCAATATAAAGGTATAATCACGTGATTAGATTCTCAATATATCATTGGCTAATGACATTATGAATTATTAATGAGTTTGATAAAATTCATGCAACGTATGTTTTGCAGATCAAGAATTTCTACGTCATGTTTTTGTTGTTGTTGCATATTTCACATTTTCAATTGCTTTATTACGCTTGCAAATGGCGATAAACCAAAAATATAGAGAAATAGGGGAACGCATGATAACTCATCGACATCCCTAAACAAATGAATAAGCGGTTACGATGCGACAGTACAGCTGCTCGCACATGGTGATGCAAAATGGGCACTTGTTTTCTCCCGTAGTTGTTATTTGGCTCGTTCCCATTTCTCTCCTCCACTAGAGATGGGAACGAGCAAAAAAACGTCTGCGAGAGGAGACTAAGCGACTGGACCAAAAATGAAACCATCCCTATAAGTCCTAAGGAAAAAAGGTAATTAAGGGCCATTAGAAAAAAAACTGCAAAACGAATATAGCTTTCATAAGTATTGTCTGCTTATACCTTGAGCATCGCGCCCGGAGCGGCAGTTTTCTTCTGGTCCATCTATTATAATTTTTTGCATTCTTATTTTCCAGCTCCATGGGAGTATTATCGTCTCACACTCCGAGTTACTAGAAGAAGCACGAAAACTTCACTTCTTACACAACCAAACTTGGAATCATATACAAGATTTGATAAATCAAGGACTATGTCTTGTAGGATATTTCAAAAGTGCTCTTGTTTAATAATATTATAAGTGAATAACTTGATACCTCAATTAAAACAATTTATAATAAACATTATCGCCAAATAAATCATGTTGTTAGTAGTTTACAATMCAACTTAAAGTGCTACTTGGACGAACATTTCGAATCATTAGAAAAGACTTGGAAATCAAATAGACCTATCCATATGGGTTTAATAATCATGAAGCAGCAGATTTCAAGAAAATATTCATGCAAATCCTTGATAATTTGGACAAAAAATGTTGGAGTAGATGACGTCATTTACTCCATCCTTTTATTCTTCCATATTTTGAATCAAAATTTATCTGATGTGGGATAATTACAAAACAAATATTTTCCCGCAATTGTTTTTAATAGATATCAATGAGTCATATATTTGTATTACTTGAAGTTTTGAAATAAGGCCATTTTCATGCAAGTAGCACTTTAACCCTTTGTCGTCTGCCTTTGGAAATATCGTTCCCACTGTAACGATGTCTCTAAAAATCGCCAGTCCTCGACATCACAAGTCAGGTTTCCAAATTTCAAACAATCAACTGTTCGCCCATCTCTCCTTGACAGATATTTGGCTGTCATTCTGCTAGAATGATGTTCAACCATTTCTAGTTAAAAAATAGACTGTTTTCCTTTCGCCTGAAACAAGCTTTCAGTATTTGACTTGGGTCGTGATCGTTCAATCGTTTATATATAGATCTTAAAAAAAGTCTTCATAGGTCGACCTTTCTTTTCCTTTTTTTTCTTTCAGTTTAACCAATTTTTCGAATAAACTTCTGATGAATGACAGGATCTTTTAAACTATTGTAGTCTACTGAAGATTTCTTCGGATGATATTTTTTCTTTACTTTCAGTCGATCTATCTTACGAAGAGGGATGGCCCAGCGTTGAATAGATTTGTTCCACGACTCCAACTAGTAGCTTCGCTCTATCTTATCTTTGAAAACAATTCATGTCGTGCACGGCATCTGGTCGAAAAGTACCTCTTTAACTGATTCGAATTTTACCCGGATCAATTTTTTTACTAARWGAGGAGAACTAACATACTTCAAACATTTTTTAGTCCCACTCGTGTGTTCGGAAACCTATGACGTACTTGGTTACACGGTACACGACGATAGTACCATTTTTAACTCGACGATTGCGAAGCGATTGCGATTTATTGGAGAGGGACGAATCTGTCACTCTCTCAGTCACTCACTTTCCTGTAAACTTGAGCCTGCGTTACATGTGTTCAGAACTATTACTTTATTCTCATTATTTTCTAGTAGAGTCAATTTCGTGTGAAATTACCGCACGGTTACCGCACAGTTAGCGGACCTGGCCTGCACAATTTTTGTGAAGCAATGAGACACTAGGTAGACACTAGGTATAGTTTACAACATGAGCGGCGAAAAATGACAATTAAGGTAACTGCTGAGTTTAGTCGCTATTAAGCATGCGCAATTTACTGCAACACAGAACATTTTGAATAATTATCCATGCCACATGGAAAGCAAGCCATCTGTTGCATAAGCGAGTTYTGTTATCCGTCTTTGATTGCTTCAAAACCTAGTGAAGGTCTATGATGCGAYACTAAAACTGAGACTTTTGCTAGTGTTGGGTTGTCTCAATGGTGACGACCGTGTTGTAAATCTGATACAACCACTAGTGGTTGTATCCACTAGTGGTTGTATCAGATTTACAAGGTCAATCACCTGATTAAATGGTCAGCCCTTATTGGAGCAATAGCTTATGCATTATTAATAAGTTTTATAAGTGTTGTTTATAGAACGAGAGTGTGTGTTTTATCGGGTATATAAAACCTGCAGCTCGAATCTATATTTAAGAAATATAAAACGGCGCGCGTGTCTCTGTGCTCTGATATAAACACGGTGGGAGTTCGAAAAACACGAGAGAAGCAAGCTTAGGAACACGAGCGTAGCAAGTGTTTCTCTTGCTTCTCGAGAGTTTTTCAACTCCCACCTGATTAAATGGACAGCCCTTATTGGAGTAATAGCTCATGCATTATTAAGTTTTATAAAATTTGGTTACAGTGTACGATTACGGTTACATTCTAGAACTCATTAATAATTCATGAACTATTAGTCCAATGAGCACCGAACTATTGGGTCACATGATGGGCCTTTATATCCGATAAATTACTGATGTTTTATTAATCAGTTCTATATCAGATATATAGAACTGATGTTTTATTAATAAGTTCTATATCAGATATAAAGAACTGATCAAGTTCATCAACGTTTTATCGCAACCCAACACTAGCAAAAGTCTCAGTTTTAATGTCGCATCATAGACCTTTGCTAGGTTTTAAATCAGTTTGAACAAATGTGCCGACATGCACTATAGGTAGACTAGCCGTTCTTTCGTGTGGGATCAAAATTCTTTCAATTGTGGCACAATGCACATGCTCATTAGAAGTTCAATATGCATTATCACTGTTTTCGCATTTTTTAGCTTTTTTCTAAAATGACAACAATTTCTGAATGTTGAAGTTCTAGAAGTCGTTTATAGAACTCGAGTGCGTGTTTTATCGGTGTTTTTTTGTGGTCTCCTACCGAGATACGTGAAGAACAGATGAGGTATCATGACTTGAGCTACATTATGCAAGTATTAAAGAACAATGCACATCCGTCAAAACATGAGCTCAAGGTAAAAGTCCACTTATCAGGTCAATTTGGTCAAATCGGGAGTTATTCAGGCGCGTAGCGTGGACTCTTTTAGTCCAGTCATTCTTCGAAATGACCTGTCACTAATTGCAACAGAAGCTTTTTCTTCATTAACATGTCCGTTAGTATCCCATTAACTACCAAAAAAAAGTYCCAGAAGATTCGAGTAGGGGAAGGTCCTAAAAATCGGGTTTTTGTGCGACACTATAAAATTGCATATAAATGTACCAACATGGAAACGAGGCTGACACCAGGAATTGCTATATTTGATCGCTATACACTCTTTTAATAAGTCCCGATGTATTGTGTTCTCCGCACTTGACGTCAAATTTATTCTTTTGAATTCCTTTTGTATTGTAAAAATTTCAAAAGAATAAATTTGACGTCAAAAGTGCGGAGAACTCAATACCTTGGGACTTATTAAAAGGGTGTATATTTAAATCCACACAAAAGTTGTCTTATTGCTCTAAGATGGTCAAAATAATTTCTAAGCAATAGATTTTTACATTTTTGGCGTTCAATATATCAAAATATAAGAAACTGTCTCAAAGTGAAAGTGTTTAAATAATTAATAATTAAAGTAAGTAATGATTAAAGCTTTCTCTTTATAGTTATGTTTTTATTATTCACCAGTGACGAATCACATGCATCGCTAAAATGTTTATACAATACATTTTTATCGCGTGTTGTTTTATAGTAAAATATGATGCTATTCGTTATTTTGCATACAGAGCATTGCATACCAACACTAACATTAAACGAATCCTTTTAATAAAACCATATACACCTACTTGCGAAAACGTTGTCATAGAAAATAGGACATTTGTATTTAGTCAAAAAGGAATAAATTAAAAAAGACAAAAGAAGATCACTGAGGCTTAACGCTTTCTTTTGTCTTGTTTTGATTTATTCCTTTTAACTAAATTCAAATGTTCTATTTTCTGTGACAACGTTTCTGCAAGTAGGTATATGTCAGAAAATAATGAAGTTGTTTATCTGTTTTATTCACGGCACTATGGATATTATGTCACTTGGACTCATGTCGATCATTGGCAAGAAGTGGACTGAGGACAGACACTGGTGAGCCTACTCCTCTGGACGCTTTGCATCATTCCAGACCACGCGGACCGCGCACTCCCAAATAACAGTGAGGTCTTCCAAAGGCCGACATGAAGACTGGCAAGACTAGCTGTGGGATCCAAAGCGTGTTTCACTACCATGTTGTTGTACCTGAGATGTGTTATGGGAACTCGAACTCTGCCGTTGTTATCTCGTCAGTGTAGTGGTAACTTAACGTTTCGGAACACGACGGTTTCAGGCGCGTAGCGTCCTTTACGCATATACCAGATATACGTACGTGCGTACTAGTAGCAAAGAAATATTAAAATTTTCACAAAAATTACTGAAAAATTCACATAAAATTGATCCCTTTGATATGCCCTCGATGTCTCGGCAAAACGCTGGAAATCACATATCCAAGAGTTATTATTTCAAAATTTCCCTTGGGGAGATCCAGACTCCATTAATACTTCCGCCTTTGGCTGTCGTTAGACCCCCAGATCCAAAATGCCCTTACGCTCCCTGACATGTGCGTACTAGCCAAAAAGTCCACGCTACGTGCCTGGGTTTCGATTTGTCCCTAGCATCATGGTTGAAATCATCCCAATACCGTGGAATGTGTTATGTCCGTCATGATCAACGTTATCTTCCGCGGCATAGTAATCAGGAATATCAGCCCCTTGATCTACTGATGCACTCGGGTCATGTAGGTGTGGTATCATCGCTTTCATCTGGGTTCAGACCATTCACTCTCATGATGCACTCATGCTGTATGCTTGAACATCGTTACATAACGAGCAAAATTCAAATCAGTAAAATCGAATTGACAAGGAAACGTGAAGCGAAGTATGGTGAAGCTGTACTGCTAGTCCATTTGCAGCGGTGCATTTAAAAAACTAGGTCATGCTACTTTCATTATAGTTTGACCTATCGAAGCGCGAACTTCAAGTCGTTTCTTACCGTAAATATTTCAAGTAGCAAGTGCACTAGAGATAAATGGCTTCCCATTTATATTTGTAACAATGACGTCTTCAACTGAATGTTCTTTTATCTTTGCTCTTATCTAACCCTCCCAAAAAGTGACTCATTTTTCTGTCAGACCAGACACCGTTATTTGTTTATCATCATTTTTTATTAAGAATTCAACTGTTTTAAGAAACGCTTCTCTTTTCTCTTGAGGGTGTGCATTCTAATCTTTATTTTCGTTCTAAAGTTCACACTCGTGGTACACTGAGTCAGCTGCAGGACACCTGAAGCTCATGCATCCGCCCTCTTTTTGACACAGTTTTCTTAAACATCCATGTCTTCGATCGCCACCATAATCAAGCCGCCAATGGCAACACAACT